TTATTTTTTGCAGTAATGAAAATTGTCTCGCCTCTTAATTTTTTGAAAACTTCATCATTTCTATTTTTTACGTCATATAAATTCTGATGATTGTAAAGTTAGTGTTATGTAACAGCAGTAGATTATATCCTAAATAAACTGTTATATTCCTAAATAAACCTAAATTTACCTAGATGATAAATATTTTTTTTTTGGTATGGTTATGGAGAGCATGTGTTTGGAATGGCTCTTAGACTTGTTGTCACTATAAACATTGGTTCCTGTAACTCATACTATGAAATGATTTCTGTAATTTTCTAAAAAGCGTCAATATTTGAATTATAAGGGATTTAATAAGCTTTACTTAAATTCGTCATTTCATACTATTATTGGCCGTCTTATTATTATTTAAAAATTTCTATATTGTTAAATAAGTAAAGCCATTTTTAATAAACTACTTATTTACTTATATTGGTATCCTATATACAAGCTTATATTGGTAACTAATGTAAACGAGAACCTGGCATTATTACTAGGTGTCTATAACCAATAAGTACCCATTTTTGAGTTTTGTATGCTGCGGACACAAATTTTATAGTGGGACATATATATATATGTATTTTTTGTAAAACCATTTGTACACACTTATATCAAAATGTCAGATGTTTAAAATTTAAAAAAAAATTAAGTAAATAAAGTGAGAAGTTATCTTAGAACAGATTTGAAATTTCTGGTAATGAGGCAACTTTGTATTTATGGATAGATATTATTAGGAGAAATGATTTGATTGACCCAGATTTTATTTTGATATATATCTTATACAGGAATTTGTAAAGAAAGATTGATACAAACATTTTTGAAGCTGTATAATTAATTTTTTATGCTATATCTATCTTTTTTTTTAGGATTGAATGGTACTAAAGAATCAGATGATAACCATCAAAAAGGATCTAACCCAATTGAAAGTCCTGATCAAGCCTATGAAAAGGTATGTATATTTTGATGTTATCATTTATTAAATAAATCTGTTTTTCAAATAAATCTATTTTTTTAAAATAATTATTATTTTAAAATATATTTATATTTTATTTATAATCAATAAATAAATTTTTTGTATGAATTCCAAAACATTGTTTTTTTTATTTTTAATAAGAACAATTTTACTATAATAGTTGTTGACTTTATGTTTATTTTATGTTATTTTATGTTTGTTGACTTTATGTTTGTTGTTTATTCCAGGCTATATATATACTGAATGAAAATGTTAAGAAAGATTCAAAGAAGCTATTATTAGCACACAAACACACTCAAAAGCTGCCGGCGTAAATTCGAGCAGATATATTATCAGATTTAAAAGAATTTATAACCATAATTCCAACTACATAATACATACTTTAAGTTGGAAGTGGATAATTTTAAAGCCAAACTTGTTCACAATAACTTTCCAACTAATTTTGTCAATCGTCTTTAAGCCCAATTTAAAAATTAAGTTTAAATTTACCATACACTGTCCACAAATGCCTAAACTGTAGCCCTCACTTATATTCATTTATGACACACCACTTCAATCCATTAGTCTGGAAGGATGGCTGTTGATGTGGTGGTATATGTGAACGGGGACTTGAATTTAGTTTAGTTATGCGCTGCTTACGGATTTAAATAAAAAATTTGGTTTTGTATTGTCATTATCTTTGACTTCTCCTGTTTTTATTGCTTTTGTAGGGTCCAGACGATAGCAACATGGCTTACAGCTTTTGCTGTTCGCCACATTGCTGTAATGAAACCCTATACTTGTTTCATTCAGAATCATGTATTTTTGTTGTTTGATGCTGAGGAGTTTTACAGCACTTTTTATTATATTTTTGCTATATACATATTATACACACACATATTAGATAAAAATCTAGAGGAAACTAGAATAAAAATATAAGGATTTTTAAAGGAGAAAACCTATTATTCTTAGTTATTTTACTTATTATATTTAAAACTTATTAAACTTATTATTTTTTTCTTAATTTTTTCCGTTAATATCTCTTTTCTTTTATCCTTTTTGTATTATATATATATATATATATATATAAATTAGCTTGACTGGCACACATTATTTCATTATGTTAGACACAGAAACTATTTTACTAACTCAATTTACTATTCTACTCTATTTTACTAGAGTTTTTATTTTAATAACTCAAATTTAGGTGTTTAACACCAGATTTAGATTGAAAACTATTAAGCAATTTTTCTTTTTGTAATTTTTTAGAATAAGTGGAAAAGATTAACATGGAATTTACCATTTAATTTAAGTGTTTTATAAATAGCACTTTTGCTTTTTCTTATGCTCTCAGAACTGAATTTAAGATTTTAAAATTTCGGATAGAGTAACAGTTTAAATTTTGATAAGGCATATTTGATAGATAAAGAACATCTTATAAATTTTTGCCTTGTTTTTATTATGCAAATAGGATTAATTTTATTTGAAGAACTGAATGATGTATTTTTGCCACTTACTGTATTTTTTTATAGCATTCGTCTCATATGTGAGATTTCACTTGCCCATAAATATAATGTTACATAATAGACCACATAGTTATGTATACAAAGTTGACATATTGCAATTAACATATTAAATTACAAGCAGTAAATTCTGAATCAATTTATTTTGTTCAAAAAATGGGGTATGTCAGATTTTGTCTGCGGTTCTTATTAGTTATAAATTGGGATGCACCTAATTCTAAATAATTTTTGGCTGCCACATGCTTTATCCAAAAGCATGAAAATATTGACCTGTTATGGTCTGGAATTTTTTAAGATTTTAAAATTTCGGATAGAGTAACAGTTTAAATTTTGATGAGGCATATTTGATAGATAAAGAACATCTTATAAATTTTTGCCTTATTTTTATTATGCAAATAGGATTAATTTTATTTGAAGAACTGAATGATGTATTTTTGCCACTTACTGTATTTTTTTATAGCATTAGTCTCATATGTGAGATTTTACTTACTCATAAATATAATGTTACATAATGGACCACATAGTTATGTATACAAAGTTGATATATTGCAATTAACATATTAAATTACAAGCAGTAAATTCTGAATCAATTTATTTTGTTCAAAAAATGAGGGTATGTCAGATTTTGTCTGCGGTTCTTATTAGTTATAAATTAGGATGCACCAATTTCAAAATAATTTTTGGCTGCTACATGCTTTATCCAAAAGCATGAAAATATTGTCCTGTTATGATCTGGAAATGCATGGTGCATACTGAAGTCTGGCATTGTTGTACGTAAATTAAGGTTTCAGACCCACTGATTTAGACATGATTTTAATGATAAACATCACACAATGCATAAAACTGTGATGAACATCAAAAGGTAACTTATAAACTAAACATGATGCTGTGTGAAAGACAACAAAAATCAGCAATTAGAAGCAACAAACATTAGCATTAGTTTTGAAACTATATTTAAACTATGACATAATTAATAATACATACCATGAAAAAATATGTTATAATTACATCTGATTTAAAATATATAGGCAAATCTCAAGCCATGACGTAAAAATATATTGTTGATCAATGCAGCTTTACAATAGATATTTCAACATTTAAATAGCTCCTGTGCTTGTTCCCAAATGAAATTTATTATATTTTTCTTATTTTTCCCCTTTGTATGAAGTTTCAAAAACTTTTGCAATCATAAAATGTTAACATGAACTAATCAATCATAAACTGTTGCAATCATAAATGTTATTTCAGATTTCTTCTTTTGAAAAGATGAATAATTATGTAATAGTTGTAATTTATATTTCAGATTTCTTCATTTGTTGATAAGATGAATAATTTGGAAGAACGTCTCCTAACATTAAAAAAAGAAAAAGAAAGTCTTTCTAAATTAGAAGAAAGTCTTATAGCAGATATGAGTAAAATTCAGAAAGAATTGCTGAAAAAGCAATCTCCATCTACATGAAGAATCTGTATGATTAATATCAAAGATACTTGTGTAAATATTTATTAATCAATTTATTTGCCTTTTGGCTAAATGACGTTATATTATTTTATCATTTGAATAAATTATCTGCAATTGCATAACTGCTAATTAGTTTTATTTTTCATAGTGTTTCTTTAGTTTTTGATGCGTTCTCTTGTTGATTAAATTTTACTCAATTTATATTCCTGGACATTTAAAATGTGCTAATTACATCAAATTTACATTCCTGCCAAAATATCTAAATTTTTATTTCAGTTAAAAGAAATTATACTCTTATATGATTGAATTATTATCTTAAAACAATTGAAAAATTTTAAGAAAATGATTAAATGAAAGAATTCAATGATTTGTGAAAAGTAATTTACAACTTTTAATATTGATTTTTAAATGATTCACCATTGAAAAGAAGAATGAAAAATAAAGCTAAGTGACATTCTAATTTTTTTTTTACTGTTTCAAACTATGACTGACATTCTTACAAAAATATTTTTAAAGACATGTTAGACACAGATTAGCATTAATTATTTTACTAAGAAAGGTTGTGATGGAGATAATTTTTTTTTGTATTTAGCTTAATTAGCATTAGAAATACAAGGAATGGTTATTTTAAAAGTTATTTTATTTATTTATTATTATTATTTTTTTGTACTAAGAATTGTTTATTTGTAATTTATCTGGCTTACATTTTTCTAGGAAAGTTAGTTTGGACGAAACCTTGTGATTTCTAGCTATTCCCTGATTTTTTGAATTATAAAATTTTTTAGTGATATTACCCACAAAGTAAAAGATTCAACTTTTATTGAATCTTAGTTACAAAAAATTTTGATAATCAAGACAATTAAAAAAAAAATATCTGAATCGCTGAACATAAAATGATTTTTAACTTTAAAATTTTTTTTAAAAATATTTTTTAATATTTGTATTTTCCTTCTAATTTGGTTTGCAGTATTTTTTCTATTTTCTTGATAGTTCCAGATGCATTCCTTTCTTCTAATGGAACATTTACCTGTTTAAAGAAAAATTATAAATATAAGACAGAAATATATTCAGAAGGACATTGGAGTTAGTTATGTTTATTTGTGAGATTAAAAATAAACTATTAGCAATATTCCTTATAAAGTAAAGATCGTTATATATAGCATAGGATTTGAAGAAAAGAACCCCATTCTCTAACTATATCTTCACAGTACACAAATTTTAACCAAATGCATAAATATCTGCTTTTAATCAGATTTTATTGACTTCTTTAAGAAGTTAAAATTATAAAATATAAACAAATATCATCTAAAACTAAAATATATGCTCTACTTTCAAAGAAACTTATATGCAAATTTCTTTTATTTAGTTATTATTATTTGGCAGTGAATTAACAAAGGGATGATTCTTACAGTTCAGTAAATTTTAAATTTGTACCTGAATTTCAGTCTTGTTTTTAAACTAATCATATTTTGCAATCAAGAGATTTAATGTTAATAGAACTCTGTATTGGATTATTTTATCTCTAAAGATAAATTTCAGAAATTAACACGTATAGTACATAAAAAAGTAAGGTGTGTATTTACCTACATTACTTTTATCTTCTTTTATAAACTATGTGGATACTTGTATTCAATGATATTTTTATTATATTAATACTTGCAAGAATGGTGGGAAAGTTTGAGGTTAAAATTATTTTTTATTATAGATCTTTTTTTCTTTTAAATCTTTTCCTATTTCTAGACAAATGAATTCAAATTGATTTCATTTTATTTAAAAACAAAATGCTGAAGATTTTTATTGTAATCAAAGTTGTATTTCTTATTTTGTTCTAATGTCTTAACTAAATGTATTCTTTTCTTTAAAAAAAAGTTTGAATGGCCTGTCAATAATAATAAAATATTCATTTTCCCAAAAAGTTCATAGATGAACATTTTCGGCTAAGAAATGTGTGTAGTAATAGATGGAGTTAAAACATTCCTAACAAACTCTAAGAACTTTCGTAGAGTTGTAAAATATTCTCCTGGTATGCTGTTTCTAATATTTTTGAAACAGCACTTTTCTAAATGTTTTTTTTTTTAGATTTTTATTATACTTGTTTTTTTTTTAATTATTATTCTGATATCTTTTTACCTGTTAATTTGTGACCTATCACAAAAATTGGAGGAAAAAAATTTTGAGCAAAGAGCTAATGCAAAATATGAACTTAAAAATTTTGAAATTGTGAATAATATTATTAAATAGTACTTTAGAAAAGATATTGTTTATTTCAATTCTAAAGTATCAATGAAGATGAATGATCTGATGTTATAATATTTTTTAAATCATATTGATTACTAAATTACGTTGATGGATACCTAGTCAAATTTAGGATAAGAATTCTAAGGGCACTATGCCATTTTTCTTTTTAGGACACAAATCCTTAGTTAGTTCAACTTACTTCAGAAAAGTGTTTCTCCAATACTTGTAATAACACCTGTTCTTGAGATTCTATTTCATTCAATAAGGATCTTAGCTTTTCAAGCTCTAATTTTGCATTGCTTCGTCTTTTTTCTTGTTCTTCATATCTACTTTTGGCTATTTGTAGCTCGTCAACCATATCTCTGAAGAAAAAAATTTATCTACACTTGAAAACTGGTACTATTTAAAAGGTAATTGATAAGAGCATCTCGAACATACTCATTATAGAACTATTTGTTTATTTTTATGTGAAATTAAATAGAAGAAATATAATTTTAGTCCTCTCCTGAAATACATTCATCAGTGTACCAAACACAGATCTATTCTGCAATTTTTTCCATCTTATCAATTTTCAATAACAAATTTGTGCTTAAAATGTATAATGAATGATTAATAATTTAAAAGTTAATGGATTAATCGTATGTAACTAAATATACATTTAATAGACTCCTTACTTTTACCATTTGTTGCAAAGTTAAGACGTTATAAGAACGTGACATTTTATTTCTTTTCTAGATTTAAATTTTAAAAAAATAGTATTTTTAATAGTATATGTATATTTATCAAATTTTCTTTTACGCAAGTAAAGAAAATATAATTTAAAAGTATAATGGATTAATCGTATGTAACTAAATATACATTTAATAGACTCTATACTTTTACCAGTTGTTGCAAAGTTAAGACGTTATGAGAATGTGACATTTTACTTCTTATTTAAATTTAAAAAAAAAATAGTATTTTTAATAGTATATGCATATTTATCAAATTTTCTTTTGCGCAAATAAAGAAAATATAGAAACCAGCACGTTTTTAATTTTTAGTCTACGAAACGATCACTTTAACATCTTTGAAAATTTCAAATTTTTAATTTAACATTTATATATAGAATTTAATAAAAAGAAGAGTGTTTTCCTTAATCTATGCTAATAATTTTTATGTAAATAAAGAAAATATGAAAGTAAGCAGTTTTTAAATGAAGATAGTTTTTCTAAAGCTATGCTGATAATTTTTTTTAATGAAGAAAGTATAAAAATAAGCACTTTTGGTGTCTATGACTCAAATGATTGATTACAGAGTAAAACACTGATTTAAGTTTAGTTATCTAAGTGTTATCTTATTTATTTATTTTTAAAGAAAAGAGAGTACTTTTCGGGTTGAATAGTGTTTACTCCTTTTACTATTGCCATTCTGGAGTCCAGGTGTTTCTTTTGAGTTTTCAATTCATTAAGAGATTTAACTAATCTTTGTTTCAAATCAAAGAGATCTTCGTGCATAGATTTTTGCACTAAAAATCTTCTTTCAATGTCCTGTTAAAGAAAATATCATTATCAAATGCTCATTTAAATTTTTTCATTATTCAATGAAACCATTATATTGCTCTCTACCTCTATACAACCTCTATATTTAATTTATAATTAAATATAGAGGTGAATAAAAAGGACAGGGGAAAATGACAAAACCAAATATCTTCCGGCTTGCACCCACCGCAGTGCTGACATGAAATATCCTCAGTGGTAGACGGATCAT